GGCCGCTCCTCGTCGGCGCCCGCGCTCCGCCAGGTGCGCGTCTGCGCGCGGAGCTCGTCGGCCACCGCCAGCTGCGCCTGGTGCGGCCGCTCCGGGTGGTAGAACTTGCACTTGATGCCGTAGGTGCATTTCTTGCCTGGAGGGCGCGGGGGGAGAGGGCGCCGGTGAGACGGGCGCGGGAGGCCGTGCCCGGGCGGGGCAGTGCCGGCCCGCGGCTTTCTCCGTGGATGTTGCTCACGGAAAGTAGCCGGGCTGCAGAGTTATCGGGACTGGGGCAGGACGAGGTGGGCAAAGTGCCCTGGGATGCAGGAGGGTGCAGCACCCCTCCTTTTGGCAGGGGGCGCTGGGCACAATCACCCCCGGTGTCAGCCAGGTGGGTACCAGTCTCGGAACCCCCTTTGGCCAAATTTCTCCAACCAGTGACCTTCAGCCTCCACTTTCCCAGGGACCCTGTGGATAGGACCAAGCTTGGGGGCAGAGGAGGGGGTGGGCAGTGGGTAGTTCTGGCATAGGATTGCACCTCCAGTGCTGCCTCAGTTTCCACCATTTGCCCACATTCCTGCTCTAAGCGTTGCCCTCTCCCTACAGACTGCCGTAACAGGTGATCAAATAATCATCGCAACCCGGACACCTTTGAGAGTGAAAGGGAGCGGGATGTGTCAACCTGAATGTATTTCACCTTAATTCTAACCTGAAATGACTCTGTCTATCACCTAAGGCTTTGTAAACTTCTGTGGGCACAGAAACCAAGGCCTGGGGACATCGGATAGCTTTCAAAGCAAGTTAGTGAGAGCTGGCCAGAAGGCTGACGCCCTGGAGGGCTCTGGATAGAATCCTTAACTCTCGACGGATAGCCTTGACCAAAGTCCATAAGGGTGCCGGGGTGGGGGACGGTGGGGCAGGATGGGACACAATGTGCCAGGTGAAGGGACTGAGAAAGGGGAGCTTGGGGAACACAAAGCCTCCCTGCTTCCAGGACAGCTTTGCCCAGTGTGTAACCCTTGTATCCATCCCCTCAAAATACTTTTATGCAGCAGGCGGCCCAGATGTCAGTTCACCCTTACAATAACCCTGTCAGGAAACTGCCATGGAGACAAGGCCCTGAACTGGGCCTACGAGGAGCAGGGTGTCACCTACCATATGGGCAGTGCTGCCAGGATGGCTCTGGGGGCTTTGGCTTCCTGCTCAGGAAGTTGCTCAGGGTGGGTCCCCGGCGGCCCAGGGGGTCGTCAGGAGGCATGAACCTAGAAAACAAGCACAGCCGGACCAACAGGGACTCAACAATCCCACCTGCGTGGCGAGCACACAGCAAGGGAATGAATGGCAGCACCAAGCATGACCTCAGCCAGGCTCAGCAGCCAGCGCTCTTCCAGCACCCAGAGGTGTCATCAGGTGCTAAAGCAGCACAGCCCTTCCTCTCCCTGAACCCACGCAGAGCGCAGCACAGATCCCTGGAGAGCAGCCCCTGGGCCTCTTCCAAGAGTTTCTCCTGCTGAGGTTCCAGCCAGTGGGACCAGAATCACCTAGCAACTCTTTTCCAAATGCAGGTCCTTGGCTTCCTACCAGACCTGCTTAATCTGAATCTCAAGTTGTTCAGGAATCTGCACTTTAACAATGCCCCAGGTGATTTTTATCCACTCACGGGGAAGCATAATTGCTCTCAGTCCCCCTGAGGTGTCCTAGTCTGAAAGCGACTGTGAGCTGCCTCCCCTTTGTCCTCAACAGAGAAAGTTAGAGACCTCCGTGGGGCTGCAAACAGCCCTCATTCAGGCTTAGATCCCATTTCTGCAGCTACCCCCACAGCTCTGGGCAGATACAGGGTAGGAATCAACAGTAACAAAGAGTTTGGAACACAGGTAGGCGACTCAGCAAAGCCCCGGAACCCAGGTGCGGCCTGCAGACGCAGCCTCCATGCAGGACCCTCCCCTGCAAAGTCGAGCTCTGGCTGGGTTTGGTCTCAGCTCCCGGGCCGCCTGACCCGGGCCATGTTCTCTAACCCACCCTGCTGGCTCCTCGCCTGCCCCTTCCCTTCTCCCTGGCATTAGGGCTAACAAGGAAGGAAATGCATCTTCAGGGTGCTCACAGCTCAAAGGGGAAAACAACATTCCTGAGAAGGAAAACTCCCCTGGTTTAGCGCCATCCATTTTATATGAATACTTCTGTTCCCTGGAGACATTTCCAGGTCACACAAAGGCTCCGCTGGAGGGGTTGTAGATTCTAAACAGAGGGCCTATTCTTACAAGGTTGTGCCCCCCTAAGAGTCCAGGGTCATGCTGAGGTCCCGCCAGGCTGGCCCAGAGCTGGGCGATCCCCAGGCAGCCTCCGCAGCTCAGATCCCAGCTACACAGCCGGCTGCTCCAGGTTGGGCCCTGACCAAGAATCCGGGGAGCGGCCCACTGCGGTTATTAAAAGTTCCCAAAGGCTTCACCTCCTGCTCCCTCCCAGCCTCGCAGCTGCTAGCTGGGCCAAGAGGGCCCTATGGACGTGCCCGGGGCACTGGGGTGGGCATCTTCGCCCACAGACCGGCGGGCAGGCTCTGCCCCTGGCAGCCAGGCGACCTTCTGGCAGACCCTTAAGCAGAGGCCCGTGCGTCAAAAAAAACTTGGCCCGGGCCCCAGGCTGTCACCAGGCCAGAGGCAGCCATGACCCATCCGACCTCAGTGAGGATTTTCTGGAACCCACAGTTACCAGACTTGCCAGATTCCTCCAGGCCTGAGCCAGACAGAGGGAGCTGCCGGCCTTGTGTATGTGGAAATGACCGGGGCTACCGCAGGGTAGCTGCTTCGAGCATCTGCCCTGGGGCTCAGGAGGGTCCTGCCCCTGCGGCGGTGTGCCAGGTGGTGGGCGGGGCAACAGTACCCCCTGGAGGCACCGTGCCCTGGCCTGGCCTGAGGATCACGGGGTCCAGCTCTCTCCTGTGCTCACACCCTCTCAGACTAAGTATGATTAACCTGCGTGGGGCTAACTCAAGGTAAGGACGCTCGGCTCAGAGAGGGGTGATTCCTCACGACACACGCCCAGGAAACCGCAGGGCTCCAGGTTGAAACCTCGCCTCCTGCCTCCCAAAGCCCGAGCTCTTCCCACCACGCACACTGCCCCCGGGGCTGCGGGTCAGGGACTGGTCTGCCATGGGCAAGTGGCCAGACCCGGCCGACACGTTGCCTCCTCTGGCCCATTCTCTCCTCCCCAGACTGCAGCCACTCACTCACTCACTCACTCACTCACTCACTCACTCACTCCCCCAGGGCTAGCCATGGAGCGCCTGCGAGGTGCCAGGCGTGGGGGGCTGGGCACATAGAGACAGTGCCTGCCTTCACAGGGCGAGGGAGCTCGCCTCAGCCACATTCCTAAAGCCAGGCGGAGAGCCCAGAATGGGGACTGAGCTATCACTGCCTGGAACAGACACTGAAGTGGGAGTGAAGCCCCAGCCTGCTGTGCCCTCCTCACCTCGTCCCATCCTATCTAGTCTCAGACCCACACTGAGGCGGCCCGGCCCCCAGCCTGTGCCCTCGGCGTGCCTGAGCACGTTTGCTGTGGACCAGCCATCACCTTCTCCCCAGCTTAGCTCGGTCTAGGGACCCTTGCCCAGCACCTGCTAATGGGTTTGTGCCTTGTGACCCTCGTGTGGCTGGTTAGTCCAGGATCGACCTGACCCAGGAGAACCAACCAAGAAGATAGATGAACTCAGCAGAGTCTCTTCAAAATTTCAACCAAGAGGTATTGAGACAGTTCCAAGATCTTAACAGCCCCAAAGATGCTGCCACCCACTCCCCTATGTAATTCAAAAGTTAAGTGGGTCTTAATATATATGACGGGAGAAGATATGACTTGGGTGGTGGGCACACAGAGCAATATACAGACCTTATAACAGAAACCCACACCTGAAACCTATATGTTCATATTAACCACTGTCACCCCAATAAATTTAATTTTTAAAAAAATAAGCCCAGCTGGCATGGCTCAGTGGTTGAGTGTTGACCTATGAACCAGGAGGTCACGGCCTGATTCCCCGTCAGGGCACATGCCCAGGT